TCTCTCTCTCTCTCTCTCTCTCTCTCTCTCTCTCTCCCTCTCTCCCCCCCCTTTTCACCTCTGCCCCATTATGTAAGCACCTCCCTTTGCTGAACTAACTCCAGAAAGCCAGCTGTCCCTTGACCCTGCAGATAGCTACGGGGTGTCCTCTCTCCCAGCCAATAATTAAATAATGGCAATATTTTCTTTTTTTTTTCTTTTGAGGTGCCAGGGATAGAACCCAGAGCCTGACTCATGTTGGGCAAGTGCTCTACCACTGAGCTACATCCCTAACCTAATAATAGCATTATTGTGGGTCCCCATTTCCTGGACAAGGCTCTGTTCTTAAAAAAACACCCATAGGCCTTCCTGAATGAAGACCCCTCATTGCACCAGGGGTGGCTAAATGTTAAAGTGCAGCTAATCACCTGGGATCTTTTTAAGATCAGTTCCTGAACTGACAGACTTGGAACAAGAGAACTTCTGAATTTCTAGCATGTTCCAGGTGAAGTTCCTGCAGCTCTGGGCCAGAAGAAGCAAGCCTTCCTCAGAAAGTAAAAGGCCATGTTTGCTAAGCTATTTCCCCTTCAGTCTCTGCACTGATACTGGGGTCCTTTACTGTCCTCCTTTTTTGTCCCCCCTCTGCTCTGTGGCTCCCAGCCCTTTCCCCGCCACCCTAGCCAAAACTTTAGTGTCCCCTCTGCCCTTGGACAAAGGCCTCTCTCTCTGGTGCTCAGGTCAGGCCTGCTGAGGCTTGCTGGGACAAACTGGCCTTTTCAGGTTTCTGTCATGTGAACCTGCTAATTAGCAAGGAAGGGCCTCATTAATGTCATTTGTGGGCTCCATTCACATGCCCACCCCCTGCTGCTTCCCTGAAAAGCAGGTGCTCCCCTAGTGGCCCAAGGGAAGGCCTCCTGCTCCACTGTACAGTAAACACCCCACCCCCACCCCTTACACACACACACACACACACACACACATGCACACGCCACCCTGTGCATCTATCATGCGATAGAAGCAGAGAGAAAAATAAATAATTTTAAAAAGGGGCTGGAAAGCCAGGCATGGTGGCGCACACCTCCCTAATCCCAGCACTAGGGAGGCAGAGGCAGGCAGATCTCTGAGTTCAAGGCCAGCCTGGTCTACATCATGAGTTACCCTGTCTCAAAAGTAGAAGCAGAGAGAAAAATAAATAATTTTAAAAAGGGGCTGGAAAGCCAGGCGTGGTGGCGCACACCTCCCTAATCCCAGCACTAGGGAGGCAGA